CACCCCAAGTCCTCCCTCCCCCTCCCCACAAGTCCTTCTCCCCCACCCCAAGTCCTCCCCCTCCCCACAAGTACCTTCTCCTCCCCTCGTCCCCCCACCCCCCCCCAAGTCCTTCCCCACCATCCCTCCTCCCCACGTCCTCCTCCCCAGTCCCCCACCCCCAGTCCTCCCTCCCTCCCCACAAGTCCTCCTCCCCTCCCCCTCCCCCAAGTCCTTCTCCCCCACCCCAAGTCCTCCTCCCCCCTCCCCACAAGTACCTTCTCCCCACCTCCCCTCCCCACCAGATTCCTCTCCCCACTGCCCCTCCCCCAAGTCCTTCTCCCCCACCCCCAAGTCCTCCCCTCCCCCAAGCACCTTCTCCCCACCTCCCCCCTCCCCCAAGTCCTTCTCCCCCCCCCACCACCCCAAGTCCTCCCTCCCCCTCCCCACAAGTCCTTCTCCCCCCACCCAAGTCCTCCCTCCCCCCTCCCCACAAGTCCTCCCTCCCCTCCCCACAAGTCCTTCTCCCCCACCACCCCAAGTCCTCCCCTCCCCCCCCACAGTCCTTCTCCCACCTGCCCCTCCCCAAGTCCTTCTCCCCCCCCACCCCAAGTCTCCTCCCCCTCCCCACAAGTCCTCCTCCCCCCACCCCAAGTCCTCCCCTCCCCCTCCCCTTCTGGCAGTGTCCTTATCACTCTTGTTAAACTTTATCTCGTTTTATACAGGTACAGTTCCCCCCTCTTCCCCCATCCCCCACCCCTCACCCACACCCTCATTTGTTGTCCCCGGAGGGAAGAGGGAGGGAGGAGAAGGAAGAGGGGGGAGTAGGAAGGAGGAAGATAAAGAAGGGAGGAGGGAGGAGGAAGGAGGACAAAGGGAAATGTGATATGTGTACCTGTTCATCTCGTCGTTCATCTCGTCCGTTCATCTGTGTGTCCGTTCATCTGTGTTCGTTCATCTGTGTGTCCGTTCACCTGTGTGTCCGTTCATCGTGTGTCCGTTCACCTGTGTGTCCGTTCACCTGTGTGTCCGTTCATCTGTGTGTCCGTTCATCTGTGTGTCGTTCACCCATGTGTCCGTTCATCTGTGTGTCCGTTCATCTGTGTGTCGTTCACCTGTGTGTCCGTTCACCTGTGTCCGTTCACCTGTGTGCCGTTCATTGTGCTGTCCTTTGTCCATTCACCTGTGTGTCCGTTCACCGGTGTCCGTTCATCTGTGTGTCCGTTCACCTGTGTGTCCGTTCATCTGTGTGTCCGTTCATCTGTGTGTCCGTTCACCTGTGTGTCCGTTCACCTGTGTGTCCGTTCATCTGTGTGTCCGTTCATCTGTGTGTCCGTTCACCTGTGTCCGTTCATCTGTGTGTCCGTTCACCTGTGTGTCCGTTCACCTGTGTGTCCGTTCATCTGTGTGTCCGTTCATCTCTGTGTCCGTTCCTGTGTCCGTTCATCTGTGTCGTTCACCTGTGTGTCCGTTCACCTGTGTGTCCGTTCATCTGTGTGTCGTTCATCTGTGTGTCCGTTCACCTGTGTGTCCGTTCATCTGTGTGTCCGTTCACCTGTGTGTCCGTTCACCTGTGTGTCCGTTCATCTGTGTGTCCGTTCATCTGTGTGTCCGTGCACATGTGTGTCCGTTCATCTGTGTGTCGTGCACCTGTGTGTCCGTTCACCTGTGTGTCCGTTCACCTGTGTGTCCGTTCATCTGTGTGTCCGTACCTGTGTGTCCGTTCACCTGTGTGTCGTTCACCTGTGTGTCCGTTCATCTGTGTCCGTTCACCTGTGTGTGTTCATCTGTGTGTCCGTTCACCTGTGTGTCCGTTCACCTGTGTGTCCGTTCATCTGTGTGTGTTCATCTGTGTCCGTGCACCTGTGTGTCCGTTCATCTGTGTGTCCGTTCATCTGTGTGTCCGTCACTCCGTTCATCTGTGTGTCCGTTCACCTGTGTGTCCGTTCATCTGTGTGTCCGTTCACCTGAAACCGTTCACCTGTGTGTCCGTTCATCTGTGTGTCCGTTCATCTGTGTGTCCGTGCACCTGTGTGTCCGTTCATCTGTGTGTCCGTTCATCTGTACCTGTGTGTCCGTTCACCAGTCTGTTCTGGTCCGTTCATCTGTGTGTCCGTTCATCTGTGTGTCCGTGCACCTGTATAAACGAAACCCCAGAGAAGCAGTGATAGATTTCAACGAAGGTGAATTACAATGGAATATATCAATAGAATAACACGTATCAATAACCAGAGAGACGGAGGTGGAGGGAGGGGTGAGGGGGTGGAGGGAGGAGGGGTGTGTGGGAGGGGTGGGGTGGAGGGGGTGGGGTGGAGGCAGTGGGGGGGTGGGTGGAGGGGTAGAGGGAGAGGGGTAGATAAGACAGTGCACGGATACAATCACCGGAAGGGTTAGGTTAGGTTTGGTGAAGTGAGGTTAAGTTAGGTTAGATTAGGTTAGGTTAGGTTTAGGGAGGTTTAATTTAACTTAACTCTTCCTCTCTTCCTCTCATGCACAAAACATTCATTATTGGGAACTTAGTTAAAACAGGAATTTGCTTGTAGATTCCCTCCTACCTCCGTCTCCCCTCTCTCATTCTCTCTCCTCCCTTCCCTCTGCTCCCCCCCCTCCCTCCTCCTCTCCTCCCCCTTTCCTCTCCTCCCCCCTCCCTTTTCCTCTCCCTCTTTCCCTCTCCCCCTTCCCTCCCCTTTCCCTCCCTTCCCTCCCCCCTTTCCCTCCCCTTTCCTCTCCTCCCTCCTCTACAAAAACATTACACTTCCTCCCCCTTTTTCTACTTCTTTCCAACAAACCTCACAATGGAATCTTATTTATCAGCCGATTGTATTGACAATTTCCCCAGGAAGCAAAAACACCTTGGTCTAACACGCCACGATAAAGGGCCTGTGTTTATTGTTCTGAGGCTGTCGTTGTGAGGATTATTTATATGAAGTTAGGTTGTACTAGGTTAGGTTAGGTTAGGTTGCGTTAGGTTAGGTTAGGATGGGCATCAGACGTCACAGGGTAATAATAGATAAAACACCTAAATCATATCGGTAACGAGGACCTACCTGAGTGAAGTCTCTGATACCTACCAAACCCCAGTGACTTCCTTACCTGTAGACACTGTAGCCAACCTGGTTAATTATTTCATACCTAGGAGAAACACATACAATCTCTCTCAGTCAAATTCTCATCACCCTCAGCTCTACTTTATCCTTCTTGAGAAACATGTTGATGGAGTATCTCTCAGCCATGTCGTGTTTCTCAGCTCCACTTTGTGTCTTTGAGGTACACGGTGAAGGCAGTCAGGCGAGGAGGTGTATCATTAGAGATGTAGGAAGCTGGTCTCCTCTTGTGGTCTGCTAACATGACTGTCCCCTTGTTGTTGAATTAATGGTCGGTTCTTGTTATCTTCACGCTGTTGTTATCTTCACCCTGCTGTTATCTTCACCCTGCTGTTATCTTCACCCTGCTGTTATCTTCACCCTGCTGTTATCTCGACAGGTCTTGAGGAAATTTTGTGAGGTAAGACATTTGAAGATGATATCGAACATGAAATTGAAAGTCAGGGGTTAAGGTCACAGCTGAAGGTCAAAGGTTAAGGTCATAGCTGAAGGTCAGAAGCTAATGTCACAGCTAAAGGTCAAAGGTTAAGGTCATAGCTGAAGGTCAAAGCTTAAGGTCATAGCTGAAGGTCAGAAGCTAATGTCACAGCTAAAGGTCAAAGGTTAAGGTCACACAAAGGTCAAATTTAAGGTCACAATTGAATACCACTTCCTACATTGTTTACCAGGAAAATATAAGATTATTTACACGATCCATTCTTCTCGTTTTCGTGTTTACTGATTCTCTTCTTCTTCTTCTTCTTTGTATTTACGATTTTTTTTTTTAAACTTACGATTTTTAGGGTAATATAATCTTTTTAAGTGAATATAATCCTTTTAATACTTTTTTTAACCTTTTTTTAGACCGACTTTTGTTATCTGTTTATGGTGAATCTCGTTATATTTTTTTTTTATAATATATTACTATGTTTAGTTTAAAATTGTGTTTTTCATTGTAAGGAAACAAAAGTGCTTATCACCTTTCATTCTCACCTGTTGTCAGAACCATTTTTTATGATATTGTTCTTCGGGTTGAGAAACCTTTTGTATTCCACCGTCACCACCACCCTCACTCTCACCATCCTTACCACTACCATCTTCACCACTACCATCGTCACCACCACCACCACCACCACCACCACCACCACCACTATCACTACCACTACCACTACCACACCACCACCACCAAATCAATAGTGAGCAACACGTGAAGAAAGTCAAGACAATTTTGTGGGTGTGGAGTGAGAGAAGTGGATAATAAGTGTGTTGATGTGTGTAAGTGCAGAGTGTGGAGGAGTGTGGGAGTGTGGAGGTGTGGAGTGTGGAGTGAGTGTGTGGAGGTGTGTGCATGTGGAAAATCGAAGTAAATTTATCGTGAAAGTGGGTTAATTTAGCTTAATCTCACACATATATTAGCTTAACTTTGCATAATTTAGCTTATCCCAGCCTTAAACCTATAGCTTAACATACCTTTATCATTGTAAAGGGGAAATTACACACACACACACAACACAACACCAACACCACACACAACACACACAACACACACACACACACACAACACACACAACACACACAACACACACACACAACACAACACACACACACACACACACAACACAACACAACACACAACACACACCACACACACACACACACACACACACACACACACAACACACACACAACACACACACAACACACACACAACCAACACACACACACACACACACACCACAACACACAACACACACACACACACACACAACACAACCACAACACACACAACACACACACACACACAACACAACACACCAACACACAACACACACACACAACACAAACACACAACACACCACACACACACAACACAACACACACACACAACACAACACACACACACACACACACACACACACACACACACCTGCACATATGCGTCAGGTACACCAAGTCGATAATCTCCGGCTGGAACAGAGTCTCAGGAGTGCTCTTCAGGGCCAGGCAGTGTAAGGGTTCGTCAGGGCCCAACACAGATGGAGGCGGCACTACTGGAATGTGGAGAACCCGCTTTTACAAGGGCCCCTGGGGATAGATAGATAGATAGACAGATACGCGTAGATAGATAGATACGCGTAAAATAGATAGATAGATAGATACACATTGTAATATACGTATAAAACGGTAAATTAATACGGTTAAATTAATACGGTTAAATTAATACGGTTAAATTAATACGGTTAAATTAATACGGTTAAATTAATACGGTTAAATTAATACGGTTAATATACGGTTAAATTAATACGGTTAAATTAATACGGTTAAATTAATACAGTTAAATTAATACGGTTAAATTACGGTTAAATTAATACAGTTAAATTAATACGGTTAAATTAATACGGTTAAATTAATACGGTTAATTTGCGGTTAAATTAATACGGTTAAATTAATACGGTTAAATTAATACCGGTTTAAGATATACGGTTATTAATACGGTAGTATACGGTTAATTAATGCGGTTAAATTAATGCGGTTAATTTAATGTGGTTAAAATATACGGATAAATATACGGTTTTGTCATATAAATTTCCATACCTGTTAAGGTTGAAATTTCTGTGCGTTTTTAGATAACATCATAACCTACTGGATAACCTTGCTTTAGTCGACCTTAGTGTTACATCACCTTGAGAAACTCGACCTTAGTGTTACATCGCGAAACTCGACCTTAGTGTTACCTCACCTTGAGAAACTCGACCTTAGTGTTACATCACCTTGAGAAACTCGACCTTAGTGTTACCTCACCTTGAGAAACTCGACCTTAGTGTTACATCACCTTGAGAAACTCGACCTTAGTGTTACCTCACCTTGAAACTCGACCTTAGTGTTACCTCACAGAAACTCGACCTTAGTGTTACCTCACCAGAAACTCGACTTAGTGTTACATCACCTTGAAAACTCCAATAACGTTACCTCACCTTGAGAAACTCGACCTTAGTGTTACATCACCTTGAAAACTCACGACCTTAGTGTTACACCTCACCTGAAAACTCGACCTTAGTGTTACACACCTTGAAAACTCTACATGTTATCCTCACCGAGAAACTCCCTCTTTAACAGCAGCGTACACACTCTCAAGTTTATCCATCATTCACTTGACGAACGGCCAAATTTTCAGTGATTTATGGGTCACTGGATGAGACAACAGTAATAGTGGAAGGTCATTTGGCGATAACACCCAATATATAAATACTGTTATCGGGTATTTGAAGATTACCCCCCTCCCCCCACCCCTGCAGACAGACAGACACAGACAGACAGGGAGACAGACACAGACAGACATATAGATAGATCACTCAACTCATGGTAAAGTAGAGGTGGGCGTGGCTGTAGTGTTCCATGGTATTAAATAACCAAAAAGAGATGGTTTGAGTGTTACTTGGTCGTGGTTTTGGTTTATGGTCGTTTTGGTGTTACTTGGTCGTGGTATGAGTGTTACTTGATCGTGGTTTGAGTGTTCTGGTCGTGGTTTGAGTGTTACTTGGTCGTGGTATGAGTGTTACTTAATCGACACACTATCAAGAGACGGTATAGGTAGACTGGTAGACTGGTAGGCTTACAGTACAACACGAAGTTATTCTCTAAAAAAAAATTCAACACGTAAAATTTCATCACTAATTGGACACGTGAGACAACCTAATAAGGTCAACTTAACATACGATAGATAGATAGCTAGATAGATAGATAGATAGATAGATAGATGAATGAATGTTGTTAATACTCGTCATCAACAAAAGTAAAAACAAAATAAGAAATGAAATTTACAAAAGTTCAGAATTTGGTTTTTTTCAATTAATTGCAGATATAAGAACTCATTTGCCTACTCACTTAGACTACGGCATAAAAGATGAATAATCAAAAGTTCCTATGTTAATTTTTCGTCTAATTGGAGGTGTAAGGCGTGACTCAGGGAGACTGGAATAATTATTAAAGGGAGGAAATAGAGTAGAGGAGTTAAATGGCCCTGATAGTGACTCGTCTCTTATAAATATCTTTCATTAATTACCTATCCTTCTCGTTTAGTCTGTGTGTGTGTGTGTGTGTACGTAACTCAATCCGTCCTTGCGTGTGTACATTACTTTAGTGCGTGAATCTTCGTACTTGGTCATGTTCCCAGCATTTACCTGTCATTCTCTACACCTGTATTGCATTACTTAACCCTTTCCCTTCCCTTACTTCAGGTGAAATTCGTAATATGGAGTTTCTATTTCACTTCACATCTAATACGTGTTTTCTCTTCCATCTTTCCCTCTTTCTTAATCCCTCTCAGTCTTTCCCTATCCTATCTTTACCTATCTTTCTTTCCCTCTCATTCTTTCCCTCTTCTTCTTCCCTCTCATTCTTTCCCTCTTCGTTCCCTCTCCTCTCTCCTTCTTCTCTCTCCTTTCCTCTTCTCCTCCCCCCTCTCATTTCCATCTCCTTCAGGGTCTTTCTCTCTCCCCTTTTATCGTCTATTTTATCTATCTCTTACTTCTCATTCTCTAAGTCTCCACACCATTATCACCGGCTTATTCTCTCATTCCTTCTATGTCTTCTCTTTATTTCAGTATTTATTCTTCTTTGTATTTCTTTGTATTCTCTTGTATTTATTTTCTTCTCTCAGTATTAAATGTTTCTCAGTATTAAATGTTTCTCAGTATTAAATGTTTCTCAGTATTAAATGTCTCTCAGTATTAAATGTTTCTTAGTATTTAATGTCCCTCACACACACACATAACACCCTCCCTAGTCACTGTATTTCCTTACCTCTGTCACACGTATCCTGTACCGACCCGTCCACTGTTCCATCCTTTTTCCACCTCCCTTCCTCAACCCATTTCCACAGTAAGAAAATCCGCCCTTGACTTCCTAATTCTTTAAACTTACTTATTTACTTAACTTAATTACTTCTCTCTCTCTCTCTCTCTCTCTCTCTCTCTCTCTCTCTCTCTCTCTCTCTCTCTCTCTCTCTCTCTCTCTTGTACATTCACCAATTATTTGTAATTTTCTTATCATTACCCTTATATTTCCCCTTTGTTCTTAATATATATATTCCTCGTTTCATATCACATCATATATGTTATAATACATAAAATAATCTTCGTCTGTTATATAATTAAATGTTTTTTTATAACTTTTACTATAAGAAAATAATTATTGTATTTAATCGTTGAATATAATTTACTTACCTGAGTATTGTGTGGATATGGAGTAGGTGCAGTGCTCTGGCCTCGCTGGTGGTGGTAGTTGAGTTGGTAGGGTTGGTAGGACTGATGGTGGTAGTTGGGTTGGTAGGACTCGTGCTGGTAATGGTGGTAGGGCTGGTAGTGGTGTTGGTAATGGTGTAGAGCTTGGTAGTGGTGATAATAATGCCGGTATTGGTGGTTGGTACTGCTGATAATGGTAGTGGTAGTAATGGTGGTATTAGTTTGTATCGAAGTTAAGGTTATTATTTGATACCTTAACTATTGTCAATATTAGGACACTAGATTCACTCCAGACAACTTTTTATATTTCATCTACTTCAGTTTATCAATACCACCAATGACATAATTCCTTCTCACTTGCATTACCGTTTTAAGTATTTAGAATTATAAGTATTTTGTCATCTGATGTTCTTTTGTTTCATAGATGTCTTGTGTTACGTTGCAATGGTCTGTTAACTTGTCTGTTCCTCACTATAAACGTCTTGGGGGAAGGTTCAAGTTGTTTTTCGTATGTGTCTCAAAACATCAGCTTAACCTCCCATCCGTGAGCAATATAAACAAACTACTTCCAGTCCATGAGAAACAGTAAGAAATATGGAGGAGATATTCCCCTTCCGTGAGAATTAAGGACGAGGTACTCCCCTTCCTTGAGGATTAAGGACGAGGTACTCCCCTTCCGTGAGAACTAGGGACGAGGTACTCCCTTCCGTGAACTAAGGACGAGGTACTCCCTTCCGTGAGAATTGAGTACTCCCCTTCCGTGAGAACTAGGGGACGAGGTACTCCCCTTCCGTGAGAACTAGGGACGAGTACTCCTTCCGTGAGAACTAGGACGAGGTACTCCCTTCCGTGAAATTAAGGACGAGGTACTCCCTTCCGTGAAATTGAGGACAGTACTCCCTTCCGTGAGAACTAGGGCAGAGGTACTCCCCTTCCGTGAGAATTAAGGACGAGGTACTCCTTCCGTGAGAAACTAGCGAGAAGATAATCACAAAGACGGTGACGCATGAAACACTGAAAGCCGTGGTGGGTGTGTAGGAGGGCGTGGTGGTGGGTGTGTAGGTGGGCGTGGTGGTGGATGCGTTGGGCTACGGAAGAACCACACAATAACACTACCACCTGCTTGTTTGTTTGCCTCTCCCCTCCACCCTTGTACAGGTGAGACGAAACACTCCAGAATGACGTTTAATATATTGCAAATAATCACTTCTAGACGTCAGATGAAAACCCTTTGTTAATTTACTTAGTTTATTATCTTGTCTTTCACTCCCGATCAGATGAAACACTCTTGTAAAAATCCACAGTAAGAGAATAAGGTAAAGTTCTCTATATATCTGAGTTTTTGATCAGTGACGAGCCTTCCCACACACACACACTTGCTTTATAAAGATGGGTCACTAACACACACGTTTATGTAGGAAGGTGTGGAAGTGTAATGAGTCAGTATACACTCCTAGTTGTATACACGTAAGTCTTCATGAGTAATCACTATGGACTAAGAACACTTGGATGTTTGTTCAGGGTGTAAAGTTAGAGATTATACAAGAAAAACTCAAATAAAACACATTGATTAAGGGAAGTTACACTGTGTCGACGAGTGTAAGTGTAAAGAATCAATACTCGTAAAGACACTGTACGGTACACTTCAGCCCCTCACAAGTAACAAGGTATATAAACACTGAAACGTTTATCCAATGGACTTACTAAGATCAACGTTTTTAAGGGAATTTTTAAATCCAACATCTACACGTGCAGAAAATCACTAACATTCATATTTTTTTTTAAACACTGTGTATCTTATGTCATGAGCAACAGCGTGTATAAACAAGACTAAAAAAAAGTTTGTTCTAAGGTTCACTCTGTCTCCAGGCGATTTCTCGACACTTTACACACACACTCGCTGCTTTTGTCCCTCTAGTGGTGTGCCAGCGAGGGAGGATGACACTTACAACAATTCTGTACTTTAATTCTGATGCTTAAAATAGTGTTTATGTGAGAATATTTAGTCGATAGTCTCAGTGTAACCTTCTGGGGGCCATTTGGGCTATAATCTTTGTGTTTTAACTTAAATCATCCAGTTAGATACGTTCTTATTACCACTTATTAGGGAAATCATACGTATGGATTTTTTTGTCGTGTTTTACCTAAAGTTAGATAGTTATTTCTCAACATTATTTAACGAGAGATATTTCAACGCACGAACCTTTTGAGAATTTAAACTCATCTCAAAGTATTTTCCACTAGGATTATTCTGTCACATATCCACTCAGCATTCAGTTTCAAGTATGAGATCTGTAGGTGTTCGTCCCGTAGAAGAGAGAGGAGTCGTGTAGAAGGAGGAGGTGGTGAGGGCAGCGACGGGGTGGAGGACGAGTGTATTGTAGCGGCAGCGACACTGAGTTTGCTGCTCTCGTGGCGCGCCGCTCCACCACTGACTGGCGGCTTTGCGCTCACTACACCCTGCCTGCCTGCTTGCCTCACTCCTTCCTTCCTTCCTTCCTTCCTTCCATGCGCACCTCTCTCTCTCTCTCTCTCTTTCTCTCGTCCACAAAATACTTCCCGATATTATTAATAAAGGATTTCCAAGTTAAACACATTAAATTTTAAGCGGATAGTCCCCCAGTTCTAATAGACCCCAGTCCTTTTGCCACTAGAAGACGCTATTGTAAGAACCTTTTAGCTCACTTAATTATGCGTAAAGCCGTGTTATATAATGTGTTTCTCTTAGCCATTGTGTAGAGGTCTTATTATTATTATTATTATTATTATTATTATTATTATTATTATTATTATTATTATTATTATTATTATTATTATTATTATTATTATTGTATTATTATTATTATTATTATTATTATTATTATTATTATTATTATTATTATTATTATTATTATTATTATTATTATTATTATTATTATTATTATTATCGTCTGTCACTACAAAATCAACACACCATACACAAACTAATTCATACAATAACTCCCATAACTAAAACAAACTATTAATATAACCCACAGAAGAAAAAAAAAATCCCAATAACGTAAAATAAAATGAAAACTTTACCCCGTGTTAAAAGTCTCTGCCTGTACCTGATTTCCCCCCCACCACTACATTACCTTTACACACTCACCTGGGACAACTAAGTCAACACCTATAGGAAACTAAATAATTTACCTGGACAAAAGATATAAAAAAGATAAGAGTCGTTAAGTAAGGAAAGAATTTGTCCCTTGCGTGTTGTTAATTGAGCATCAGAAAGGTTTTTTTTTTCTCATCTGTTAAAAACTTTGTAAGTGGGAGGGGGAAGGAGCGTAACTGGTGGCTGATGAACTTGAAGCACATATACCTGGTTACTGAAGCACTTGAAGCACATATACCTGGTTACTGAAGCACTTGAAGCACATATACCTGGTTACTGAAGCACTTGAAGCACATATACCTGGTTACTGAAACACTTGAAGCACATATACCTGGTTACTGAAGCACTTGAAGCACATATACCTGGTTACTGAAGCACTTGAAGCACATATACCTGGTTACTGAAGCACTTGAAGCACATATACCTGGTTGCTGAAGCACTTGAAGCACATATACCTGGTTACTGAAGCACTTGAAGCACATATACGCAAATGTTCTTCTCCTAACCTAACTAAACCATTATATCCTTCGTCATATATTTTTCAAGGTATAACTACTTAATATATACTTCTCAAAGCGACCAAGAATGTCTCGTTGTGTTGTGTTGTGTTGTGTTGTGTTGTGTTATGCACGGAATTCCCAAGAACATTAATTAGCCTTTTAACTTAGTAAATAGTGTTAATGGAATGTTGAAAGTTATCTTGTAAATATTTCTAGCTTAGTATGTTAATGTTAGTGTGTGTGTGTGTGTGTGTGTGTGTCATGTTGTATACACTTATAAGAGAGAGAGAGAGAGAGAGAGAGAGAGAGAGAGAGAGAGACCTTTGCTAATACGAATGAATTACGCTACTTTCTCTAATTACACCTGGTATTACGGGTGACGTATGACCAGATCATTAATATGGCTCTTAATTTGAGAGAGAGAGAGAGAGAGAGAGTGAATCCATCATCATCATCATCATCATCATCATCATCATCATCATCATCACTACTAACTCGGGTCTTCACTGAGAGATGAATAAAGAGTTAAATTAGATGATAAAGATGATCTGAGAGATAATGAGAGAAAGTGTCTATTATCTGTCTTGAGAGGGAGAGAAGGGGAGAAAGAGACAATGAAGAGGAGAGAGAAAAGAGAATTGATTCAGGTAAGAGGATAATGAGGGTCAGTTACGTGCATTATACCTGTAGTTTTTACGCATGATGAATAATTGAATCGTAAGGAGAGAGAAAGAGTGAGGTGTGAGTGTGTGAGTGAGGAGTGTGTGAGTGTGTGAGTGAGGTAGTGTGTGGTAGAGTGTGTGTGTGTGTGGTAGAGTGTGTGTGTGTGTGTGTGTGGTAGAGTGTGTGTGTGTGTGTGTGTGTGTGTGTGTGTGTGTGTGTGTGTGTGTGTGTGTGGTAGAGTGTGTGTGTGTAGAGTGTGTGTGTGTGTGTGTGTGTGTGTGTGTGTGTGGTAGAGTGTGTGTGTGTGTGTGTGGTAGAGTGTGTGTGTGTGGTAGAGTGTGTGTGTGTGTGTGTGTGGTAGAGTGTGTGTGTGTGTGTGTTTGTGTGGTAGAGTGTGTGTGTGGTAGAGTGTGTGTGTGTGTGTGTGGTAGAGTGTGTGTGTGTGTGGTAGAGTGTGTGTGTGTGTGTGGTAGAGTGTGTGTGTGTGTGTGTGTGTGTGTGTGGTAGAGTGTGTGTGTGTGTTTGGAAGCTAGAAGAAATGAAAGATGGTAACAGTTAGGTTAAGTGTGGCCCCATTACCTTGATAATAACGAGGATGGCCGGACTGAGGGCCACCAAGGCGTGAAAATTTGTTTAAGGTGTAGAAGCTGTCGCCAACACCACAACCACACCCTGAGTTAAGTTTCATGACCCAGTGTCAAGGAATAGTCCGAGAAGACCGGGCAACTGGCCAACTGCACTGGCTAGCCATTACCCAGGAACACGATCCGCAAATCGATTAACATCCAATTCCCCAATTACTGCTGGGTAGACAGAGGCAAATGGCGTAAAGAAACTTGCCCATATTTCACCCTGCCCGGGGAATCGAACCCGGGTCCGCTCTCTTCCGAGGCGAACATGCTGAACATTACACCACAGGTGGCCACATGACATTGATTATAGCCTTACCCTTAATACTATTTCTTTACTCTTTCAATTACGAATCATCAATAACCAAATAACCCAAACTGTAATGCTGAGTGACTGGATAAATAATATGACTTTAACACGAGCCGCCTCCACCGGTCAATAAACTCAGGATAAGTGAGACAACTGCACCACACTGTCCTCCTCCCTGGTGTGTGTCCCTGTGTAGTGGTCGTGACGAGAGATTGTGTCCTTTATAGGGGAATATTTAGAATGAACCAACGAGGAACACAGGAATGGAATTATATTCGTGTTATTGTGGAGGTTGTGGTGCCACCTAACGGGAGACACTGGTACTATCTTTCTCCCACCAGGTTAGGTCAGGTTAGAGCCAAGTCAGGTCACTAGTGGAGTCTCGCTATCAAGTTCAGGGCATTGATTTTATTCTAATATTTACTGTTTATTTTGTAATTACTGATCCCTCCCCCCCCCCCTCTCACGCACTGCCTCACTCCAGGTATAGCCAATCCACCACACCTCGCTGGTAAACTAATCATCAACACCTGTTCGTGCGTATGATCACCTCCTATTGGCTGGGTCTTCATAGTTCTCTAATTAGTTCACCTGCTGATTAGTCCCTCCAGCTTATTTCACCTGATAATTAAATACCCTAATAACTAGTGGTGTTAGGTTAGGTTAGTGTTTAAGTTAGATTAGATCAGAGATTTTTTTTAGGGTTAGGTTAGGTTAGGTTAGGTTAGGTTAGATGGGGTGTCTATTCTTTACGTGACCTCCATCTAATTATATTCAGCCCGGAAGTTCACTAGTCTCGCGCTATAAGTTAACACAGGGGTGAAATAGAGGAATCCTGTTGGCGGTCTCCGTTAAGTCGAACACGCGATACAGTACGGAACACGGCTTCATGGATTCCGGTGTATATATAGAGGTTTACTGGTTTTTTTCTCTTAATATTTAGCGGATTTTTTTTCTTTTTGGCGATATTTGATAAAGTCTCCTGATGGTTTTTGGTTTTTTTATTATTTCCTTCCCCTCTCTCCTCCTACCATACCCCCCCTTCCTCCCCCTTCCTCCCCCTTACCCCCTCTTCCCCCTACATGTAATACCTCCTCCCGAACCAGTGAGAATCAGAGCCTGAATCATTAAGAGACAGGTAGGCCTTTATTGTATACCTTCCTCTTCCTCATTTCGTCTCCAAGTGCCGCTCGAATTGCCTGCCTCGACGATATGAGTTCCGTAAAGGGGGAGGAAGAGGAGGAGGAAGTAGTAGAAGGAGGAGGAGGAGGAAGAAGTAGAAGGAGGAGGAGGAGGAAGTAGTAGAAGGAGGAGGAGGAGGAAGAAGTAGAAGGGAGGAGAAGCAGGAGGAAGAAGAAGATGAAGGAGGAGGAAGTGGAAGGAAATGGAGGAGGAAGGGGAAGGTAAAGGAAAGGGGGTAGAGGAGGAGGAGGAAGAAGAAAAAGAGGTGGAGGAGGTGTACCCAATAATTACTTCCGCTTGTGTGTTCGTTTCTTTGTTTCTCTTGTTTGATCTCGTGAGATTTCTACCATTTCTTTGAACTAGGAAGCTGGTGGAGAAAACAAAAATACTCTCTCTCTCTCTCTAAGTGGCCCTGTGTACTCTCAGAAAGGTTTTAGCTTCGTTGTCCTTTACCCAGAAAACAATGACATAACTTGTATCCCACCGAGAGAGAGAGAGAGAGAGAGAGAGAGAGAGAGAGAGAGAGAGAGAGAGAGAGAGAGTTAAGATGCCATGGTTCTAAAGTCACAATCGTTTCTCTTTTGTTTCCTCACCAGATTTACAACTTACGTATTAAACCAGATTTATATCTTACGTATTAAACCCGATTTATAACTTACGTATTAAACCAGATTTACAACTTACGTATTAAGACCAAACACACATCAGTACACATTCCAGTCATTGAGAAGCAGTTCATTTTGTTAACACATTTAACTTAAAAAAACAAAACAAAGAGTTATATCCTTAATTATGTTTACTAGCTGATGAACAAGTGTAATTACTGATCTGGTTATGCTGGTGAGGGAGTGAGGGGGGGAGGGAGGGTAGGTGGTGAGGAGGGAGGGAGGGAAGGAAGGAAGATGGTGACGGTGAGGGAAAGAGGGAGGAAGGGAAGGCAGCAGTGAGGGAGACACAGTGAGGGAGAGAGGGCAGGAGCAGTGAGGGAGAGAGGGAGACAAAGGGAGGGAGGGAGGTCAGGCACAGTGAG